ACCTATACCAATTAGATCAGCTAGGTCAATATTATCCGGGAGCCAACTATCATCATCAAGACGTGTTTCTTCGAATTCTTCGCCTATAGGCATCGTCAAGAATGTTTCTATTAGAGAAGCTAAGAGCCCCAAGACGAGCAGCTCGCCTAAATGGACAGGAAATTTTATTCTTATGGTCGAGCTTCGTAGGAAGATCTTTACCTTTAGAGACATCATTGATCTTCCTCCTCTCGAGGGTTCTCCTTCTATAACCGATGTGCGTAAACCCGCAAATTAGTTATCCTTCATTCCTTAACATTTTCAATATGTTTTATATGTTGACTCGCTTGTTTTGTTGGGTAGATGGTGATGCATACAATGAAAGATCTCCAGAAACTTTGTCCTGAGATCATCCACAGCTCACATATCTCAGAAATCAGACGCGCAAATGTCGATAAGGTAATCAAATCATGGTCCCAATTAATGAATTCCTCTGTCCTGAAGTCATTTTACTTGATGATTCTGATCAAATGCATTCCCCACAGGTTCTTGATCATTTCTTTAATGCTTTGAAATCCATTGGAGATTCATGGATCGATAATCCCGAATGGATAGCTAAATCCAAGTACTGGAGTAGCAGCGTCGGAAAGAATCAGTCAGATCGACTAGGTAACAAGAAATGATACCTTCACAAGAAAACCATCTCACCATTTTGAAATTGAAAACTCTAAAATATTTTGTTTGTTGCGCAGTTGAAAAAGTGTTAGCAGCATTAGATGGACTGATAAAGATGTCGAAAGAGAGGTTCGACATGATGGAGATTGATGAAGAAGAAGAGAAGAAAGAGTCTTTCAGTCCACGAAGTGCTAAAATGTCAAGTACTCGAGCTTCATCTCCATCTGAATCATTCTCCGATAGCAGAACCTCGTTTTGCGGGTCACCAATCACGCCAAAATCAGTTCTACCAGAACCAATGATGGGTTCACCAGGCAGAATTGGAGACTTTGCAAATTCTGCATCACATCTTCTGTGGAACATGAGAGTTCAAGCACTCGAGAAGCTTAGTCCTATCGATGTTAAGCGACTCGCTATTCACATTTTGTCACAGAAAGAAGCTCAGGAACCAAACCAAAGCAATGGAGAGGTTGAGACTAATGTTGT